ACTCAGGTGGTGTAGGCACAGTACATTATGCTTCATCACTTCTGCCTTTAACTTTGTCTGTAACCCTGTATAACAAAGTAATTCACACACACACTCGTGATGAAGCTAGAAATAAAAGGAAGGCATCATACTGGCAGTTCTCTATCAAATTTTGACTATTTTTGTACAGCACAACAAGGTATGAAAAAGAGGCAGACGAGCTGATTCTGAGACGCAGAACCATGTGAACAATAGGAAAAGGGCCATTGAGCAAATTCTATACTTTAAGCAGTTATCCACCCCATAAGATCAATTAGGGGGCCTACAGTCTCAATATAGCTCTGTAAATCTCTTAAAGCTACCAACCTCACAACTTTGAGTTAGAGGAATTAAATATTGATACTCAAATTCTTGAGTAGTGATAGCTTGTTTTATGCTTTTGAGAGCAACAGCTGTATTATATCAAACACAGAAAACAGGTAAGTTTGAGCATCAATAGATTAATTTGAATCCATACAGGATTCTTGTCAGTGGCCCACAAATTTTAATATGGATCAGAAAATTGATTTCCAAATTGGAATAAGAATTACCCATATCTTTATCCCCTGGAAATATCTAGGAATCCTTGAATCCAGCAGCTTAGAAGATCATCAAAGAAACTGCACCCCCTTTTTCAAAAGAGTTTGTATTTTCTAGTTTTCATATCCAACAGACATTTGGAAAGCTATTGCGAAAGGTTAAGTATGTAAGCTATCTGAGGGAGTAAGGTGAGAGGTGGGTGGACAGTAAGGTGCCAAGTTGATAGGATGCTAGATGAATGGAGTAGTGTTTCAAAGAGGTTGTGGATTTGGTTGGGAAGGGTGTCAGGTCCAATGAGAGAGATTGTTGAGTCAGAAGGGGTGATGTTGGGTAAGCTTTGGTTGGGGGCTGTCGCAGCGGCAATGTGTACATGCAGTCAATTCAGTTCGGGGTTGGGGTTGAGTTGAATTGGGGCTGGTATGCTCAGGAGGGGTGCGGTAGTTGTAATGGATTGGGCTTGGTGGGGTGACTGCAGTGTTGTCAGTTTCGGGGGCGGGGGTGGCTGGTGATGGGGGAATCAGTTCCCACTTGGGTCAGTTTGGTCTGGGTGAGTGTTCTAATGGGTGTGGGGGTATTGTGTCTGGGAGATGGGGATATCAGATGTTTGTAGCGTGCAGTTCAAGGGGCAGGGAGCATGGTGAACTGGGGTTCAATTTAATAGTTGTCCAGCAGTGAGTTTTTAATCCTCTAAACTTGCTTGGGTATGGTTTACAAATGAGTTGGAATGCAGTGAAAGCTCCCACTGTGAAGGACTTCTTTTGGGGACGACCAGGAGATGCCCATTGGAATTTACAATCCGCAATTTTGCTTTGGGATTTCCACACAGAGACCACAAGTAACTCCAATCGACGTTGCTGGACGGATTTTCAGGCCATCGGAATGTCGGGGCCAGCATTGAATGTGTTTTGCGCTCGCACTTAGGTTTAATGTGGGAAGGCTGTGGACGGATGAGAGTTTAGCTATTTGAAGCAGTTTAAAGAAGTGCACATTTCTCATCAGATGCAAACCACAGCCTTTTGCAGAGTCCAAGTGACCAGTGGGGGACTTAATGACACAGTTTTGGAGGAGGGTGATTGTTAATGTCAAACAGTTTTACTTTAAAGATGTTAGCAGACAAAGTCTATCTTTTTTTTTATCCTGAGCACAGATCTACAGAAAAGCCTCAGGTGAGAATCTATAACTCAGAGCTGGGATTTGGGGAAGGAGAGCGGTTGGCTCATTCCCAAAACAAGTCTAGTACTTGCCCAACTGTGGACAGTGCACATAGCCTTAGGAGGAGTATTGCGAAATCCTGGCAGGCTACTCACACGTTAAAACAAAACTCACTGGGATGCTGCTGACGGTCGTTCTGTCATTGGGAGATGATGGGAGGCAAATTATATGAGTGATTCGCGAGGACCCCTCTCTCCATTAAAAATCTAAACTCAACTTTTCTTTTAATTTCAAAAATATACTTTATTCATTAAAAAAAATGTGTACATAACCGCAAATGCAGTTCGGTTCTGCACAGTAGCAGATCAAGGAAACAAACAAACAATGGAGTTTGACTCTATCCAAACAAACCAAAGGCATCTCTTACACATTCCAGATTGTTTTTACATGCATTTGAGGCACCAGGGGACAACAATCGGTGCGGGGCGCCTTTCTGCTCATGAGTTGAGCAAGTTGGCAGAGGATTGCGGTTGTGGTGTGGCAGCTGCGGCTGGAGTCCCCTCGGGCTGGAGCTCGGGACTGAGGCTAGGGCTGGGGGTTGTGGGGTGGGGGAGTGCAAGAGGTACAGCTGGGGATGGAGGGGTGGGGGGGAGTAGGGAGACGTGTAGCTGGGGCTGGGAGGGGGAGAGATGTAGCTGGGGTTGGGGGATGAGGTGTAGTTGGGGGTGGGGGCGAAAGGTGTAGCTGGGCCTGGGGAGACCGAGACCTGTACCTGGGGTTAGGGGAGAGAGAGTGAGGGTTTGAGGGGGAAAGAGAGACCTGTACCTGAGGGTAGGGGAGAGAGACCTGTACCTAGGGGTATGGGAGAGAGACCTGTACGTGGGGGTTTGAGGGGGAAAGAGAGACCTGTACCTGGGGGTAGGGAAGAGAGACCTGTACCTGGGGCTTGAGGGGGAAAGAGAGACCGGTAAGTGAGGGCGGGGGGAGAGAGACCTGTACCTGGGAGTAAAGGAGAGAGACCTGTACGTGCGGGTTGGAGGAAGAGAGACCTGTACCTAGGTGGGGCGGCGGAGTGGGGGGTGCTGGCGACAGAGAGAGAGCGAGAGACCTGTACCTAGGGGTGGGGGCTGGGTGGAGAGAGATCTGTACCTGGGGCTAGGGGGTAGGGGAAGAAAGACCTGTACGTGAGGGTTGATAGAGGAGAGAAAGTTGTGTCTGAGGGTTTGTGGGTGGGGTTGGTAAGACATGTACCCGGGGGCTGTTGTGAGACTGGGAACTCGCCCCATTCAGCGGGATGGGCCAGGCGCTTCTTGCAGATAGTACACAGGATCCACATCTCACCGCCATCTCCAGGAACGGCGATCAACTCGTTTAATTCCTGCCTCAAGGGAAGGCACAGGAAATGTTAGGCAGCGAAAAGGTTAACACGACCGGAGCCTTGCTTCTTTAAAAAGAATTGTCTTGGCTCTGAATTAATTATTAGCCACTGCCAGCCGATTGGCGAGGGTGCTCCGTGCCCTTTCTGACAATTGGCTGATGCCAACCTCCACCCCCAAACCTTTTTTACACATTTGCCTGGCACCTGGCTCCTTCATTACAACGAGATCTTCAAAGTGAAGGAGAACTGCACCTCGGGGCTGGGGAAATGGAAGAGTGCAGTGGGCATGGAAACGAGTGAAGCCAGTTTCCACCTCCCTCCCTCCGTATCTCCCCCACCCTTCCTGCTCTCCGTGAGGTGCTGCTGAGTGGGGAACAAGCAGCTAACGCAGGGCAGGGCTCTGTGGGCGCCAAGTTGTCATGATGAAAACAGCAAGCTGCACGGAGCACGGACAGGAAGCCAAGTGTGGAGACAGGGAACTGCTCATTACTTTAGGAATCTATCAAAGTGCAAACCGAGAGCTGCGATGGAGGGGAGGGAGTGTGCACTGAGCTTAGACCCCCCGATTTGAAGCAGCATGGATTGCACTGGATGCGAGGCAGTTTCTGTGCCTTTGAAGTCAGCGGCATGAGTCCGTGTGAGTACATGTCCATCTGTGTGTGTGTGTGACTGTGTGTGACAGAGCAGAGAGATGTATGTTAGAGTGTGGGAGTGTACGTGTGTGTTGGTGAGTGAATGTGTG